CATTAAATTGTCTCCTCTTTCCTTCCTTTTCTTCTTCCCTTTCCTGCTCAGAAGAAAAAGCCATTTGGCCCCTCTTTCTCCGCTTTTCCTTGTCCTCTTCCTTCCTCTTTCTTTCCCCTCCATCTTTCCTTCTTTCCCCTTCTCCCTCCTTCTTTCCCCTTCTCCCTCCTTCTTTCCCCTTCTCCCTCCTTCTTTCCCCTTCTCCCTCCTTCTTTCCCCTTCCTCTCTTTCTTTCCCCTTCCTCTCTCTTTCTTTCCCCTTCCTCTCTCTTTCTTTCCCCTTCCTCTCTCTTTCTTTCCCCTTCCTCTCTCTTTCTTTCCCCTTCCTCTCTCTTTCTTTCTCCTTCCTCTCTCTTTCTTTCCCCTTCCTCTCCTTCTTTCCCCTTCCTCTCCTTCTTTCCCCTTCCTCTCCTTCTTTCCCCTTCCTCTCCTTCTTTCGCTTTCCTCTCTTTCTTTCTTCCCCTTCCTCTCTCCTTCTTTCCCCTTCCTCTTTCATTCCCCTACCTCCCTCTTTCATTCCCCTCCCTCCCTCTTTTATTCCCCTTCCTCACTCGCTCCTTCTTTCCCCTTCCTGCTCAGAAACTAAAACAGTTTTACATTTTCATCATCTTACTCTTATCACCGGAGGTGATACTCAAACCAGAACATGCAATTGCCTCCTGACAAGAAACCTCATAACTTTCTGGTCTACCACCCCAATTGACTTGATTACCTGCCTCATTCATCATTTCCTCATCTTGTCTGAGATACACTCCTCACCACTGCCTCATTTTGTCTGTGAGGTATCAACTCATCATGGGTACTTATAAAAACCCAGTATTCACACCTTGCATATACAAATTGTTTGTAGAAACTTGGATTTGATCAGCTGTTTTACTCATTTGAATAAAAGAACATTCCAAGATTCTAGGTGCATGTCTGTGTACTTCCAATAAAGTATTGATGGTACTACTTCTATTGTCTATGCAGTAGTAACTGATGTCTGTTGGAGGTGCATTTCAAACAAAAACAATTACAGTACTTTGGTTTAAAATGTTCTAATTTCAAGGGGGTTGAATTGTCAGTTCAATTTCCTTTTTGGTGAAGCACTATGGAACATAAATGTGCTCTAATTAGGAAATATGTAACTGATTTATGGCAATATAGAAAAGAAATTATGAATGTAAAGATATGCATTACTGTATTCATGCTGCCGTTACAAAGCTTTAAAAAACATTATTTGAGGGAATGTGTTTTATATATCTTACATCTATAGCACCACTTAAAGTCATCTTTCGTACAGGTGTAATCCTGATCCATGTGAGCATGGGGGTAAATGTTACCAACATTGGGAGGATTTCATCTGTGATTGTTCAACTACGGGATATGGTGGAGCGACTTGCCATACTTGTAAGTATAGATGATAGCACAAGTTATTTTTTTTTTTTGGTTGTAAACGCACCACTAGTGGCCAGCATCTTGTAATCACCCAAGGTCTGGTCTACAGGGAAAATAGTGCTGGGTTTTACATTTTACATTTATAATTTTAAATACAGGACCAGTAAATTTTCAATTTTCATTTTCTGTTTTAATTCTGCAGCACAATATGAACGTTCTTGTGAGGTTTATAAACAACTAGGAAGAAACAGCGGATCATATTTTATTGATCCAGATTTGAGTGGTCCATTAGCTCCGTTCCAAGTTTACTGTGATATGGAAGGTATGAAATCACTTTATTGTTCACCTGGTGTTCTAAAAATAAATATTAACATATTGTAAACACCTTTTGTGTGCATAGGAGCAGTAACAGTGGTTTGCAAGAACCTATCATTTGCATCTGAATAAAAAAGAACAATACATTCTCTGATGTTAATACTCAAATGCATTTTTCTATCAAAATACAATACTGTAAAATACTTTATTTTCGCTTGGAATTAATTTTCGCTATTTTAACTGAAAGAGAATGATTCAGTGTAAATAAAATCCAACGAATATACCTTTATTTCTATATTTAACATTCAACTCATCAAAAATTAGTAAAAATAAATTCCATACAAAACACCTAAAGTCTTCTCAGCGAAAATTAATTTCAGCTAAAATAAAGTATTTTACAGTATTATGAAATGATTACTGCAACAGTTGTGATACTGACATTTAAAAGAAATAAAAGCTTGTCCGATTGTTGATGAAATAAATTATATCCTGCAGATATTCAAGAGTTAGCCACTGTCGAGGTTAGCCATGACAGTGAAGAGCGTACCCAAGTTAAAAACTTTGGTCCTGCTGGCTCCTATCGGCGTACTATAGACTATTACAAAATTAGTATGGAACAGCTTGGTGCTATGATTGACAACTCTGAAAGCTGTTCCCAGTCTATTAAATATGAATGTAGAAACTCGAGGTTACTGAACTCGCCACGTAAGTCGCATTTTGTAATCTCTGTCACTGTGTCGTATTTTTACTTGTCTTGTATGCACTTTGTATTTTCATTCTATGTTTTTGTTTCATTCTGCAAAACACCTAAATCTAGAATTCAGAAAGATGCACCAAGCACAGGAAAAAATTTGCTTACTGTTATACTGCCATTTGGTGGCCCTTTTTAGAGTCGTTTTTGTAGTGGTATTTTGAATTAGAATTATTAGGTTCATACTTTAGTGTTCATACTGTATAAAAAGCATTAGTTTTCTCCAGAATTTTATTTCTATTTTTTTCCTAATCACAGGTATTAAAGTTGCATTGTCATTTACATATCTGAAACATCACTCCAAGTGAACACTAAAAATCTAAAATGTGATACAATAAAAATAGTAATACCATACTCTCCTTCCCTCTTATTTCATTTTAAGATTACTAGAAGGTCTTTTCCTCTTGACAAAAATATATCTACAATGTAACTTTCAAAAACAAAGCCCCCCCCCCCCTAACTCAGTTATTGTAAATTTTTTTTTTTTACAAATCCAGCCTAATTTAGAAGGCTCATTTAAATTTATATTCACCAGTTTATTTCCCATCCATCTACAATCCCAACATTTTATGTATTTATTGATCAGGGAATGGTACCTCATAGATTCCCAGTAAAATATATTCTATTGCAATTCTTTTTGTTATTATGAACTAAATTGTGTTTTTTACTTTTACTTTACATTTAATGTATTTTCAAGCAGTTTCTTCAGTAAATCTTGTATAAAAAATGCGTTTAATCCACCCATTTTTCCAGATGGCAAGTTGACGTTCATTAGATAGAGTGGGTGTGTACTATTTATGTATTACATTGATACGTATATATGAATTATATGCCTAATCAAATACTAATAAAGTTTCTATTTTTTTCATCAGTTGAAAATGAGGATGATAAACCTTATGGATGGTGGGTTAGTCGTAACAATGATAATATGCACTATTGGGGTGGAGCTGGTCCTGGTACAAGAAAGGTGAGGTTTTGATGCTAATTGATAATACAGCTGCTAGCTAGCATGCACCTTGACACTGTCGGCCATTCACTCATGAACATTCAAAATGGCTGAATGACAACCCATTTTAAGTTAAAAATGAATAAAAAATTCTGCCTTATAAATATTCCAGAACTAGATTTCAGTTGTACATAAAAAGATTTCTTTAACCTTGGTATATATCTTAAACACGATGCGATCTATACATGTGTCGTTTTGTTTTTAGATCAGATTCAAAATTTATGAAAAATGCTTTTCCAGGGCCATATCCTGATTTACAAATGCTTTACTTTTCAGTTTTACTATTGCACAATGGAAACTGACTTGTCAATGACTTGTTTATTTTCGTTCTAGTGTGCCTGTGGAATTGAACTTACCTGTGCTAGCTCCGATAAATGGTGTAATTGTGATATCCGTGACAACTCAAACAGGGAAGATGAGGGCGAGCTCATTGATAAAGAATATCTACCTGTTCAGGAATTGCGATTTGGAGATACCCTTGGAGCTAGCTCCGAAGGCTATCATACTTTGGGAAAATTGACATGTCGTGGTGATCGTAAGTTTTTTTTTCTATTTTTTTTTTTTTTTTTGGTTATTATTTTGTGGTTTTGGTTTAATTATCGGTGTATTTCAAATTTGTACAATTCTGAATCAAACATACATTTGTCAATTGTTCACAACTGAACGCCAACGTCATCTTTCTTGAAAAAAAATTTGTCCTGAAATTACGATCAAGTCTTGTCACCTGAAAATTATGTTCATTTGGTACGAAATTACCAAAAAAAGCAAAACAATTAGCCAAATGTGGCATCATAATTTTGTTAACATTATTGCATTCAAAAGATTTGAGAAAATTACAGATTATATTAAAGGATGCAAATGATTCTTTATTACGTAATTAATTGAAATGTTTTTTTTTATTTAGTAACCTTGAAAAATGAAGCAACTTTCCGCAGTGAGCAGGCTCATATGCGTTTCCCACTATTCACTGGCAGTCAGTCTGGGTCTGCGTCATTCGAATTTAAAACCACTGCCGACAGCGGTGTTTTCTTGTACAATAGAGGACAGCAAGATTACATCAGAGTAGAACTTTTGTGTAAGTATATTTTTAATTTATTTGGCTATATTGTATATTTTTAATGTCGTCAATAAACAACATCTTTTCTGATCGGCCTGATATTTTTTGATTTACAGGCAGACTTGAAAATTACTTTTACGTGTTTGTATCTGTTCTTTGATTGAAGTGAATGTTTTTAAATACTGTAAAATATTTTTTAGCTGGAATTAATTTTCGCTGAAAAGAACTGTTAGGGTGTTTTG